AAGTGTGGATGTCCACTGAAATACGCCTTGAAATCGATTAAAACACCTTGTGCTCAATTCGATTCATGACTCATCCTTTTTTTGCATTAAATTACTCAAAGTAAATAAGTAACTTTATTAAAATTACAATTTAAATGAAGTAATTTTGTACTTTTACTTGAGTAAATTTTGAGATGGGTAATTTTACTTTTACTCTGAGCAAAATTTAGGCAAAGTAAAGATACTTTTACTCAGTTACAATTTTTTTGTACTCTTTCCACCTCTGCTCTCTTCCATCATCTGTTTGGGAACAGCATCAGAGCAAGTGACTAAAGAGCTGCCAAGCCAAAAATGAAGGTAGACTCACAGGGAAATGCTATTAAACCACTCAAGTTTTTTTTTATTATTATTATTTTATTATCTTTTTATGAGGACAAGCTGGAGGGGCTATGTTTCTCGGCTGGCCTGGAAATGCTTTAAGATTCCCCCGAAGGAGCTGGACATCCCTATTAAGGCTGCTACCCCAACGACACGACCCCACATTAGGGATGGATGGATGGGTGGATGGATGTAAAAATTATAGTATATGGGTAAATATGGAGTAAAGTCAATAAAGAAACTGGCTAATAAAAACAAAATAATTAAACAACAGAAGTATTTTTAATAATTTTCCTATTTTAAACTTTATTAGTATTTGTCATAACAATTAAAAACAATATTTTTCCTTCTTCTTTCATGCAGTACTGAGATGAATAAAGCAAGAATATCTCTAACTTGAAGGTTTTTGAGGAAAGGTGTTTTTTTTTGTTATGGTAAGGGTCTCCAAAATATAAATAATAATAATAATAATAAAAAAAACATATTTTTAGTCATGGAGGGTTTAAATCATAACTGATGCAGGTTGCTGTCTCAACCTGCATCAGGTAGAGATAGCAAACGGAAATGATAACCAAAATGGAAATGAGGACCTTTTTTTTCTTTAAAGTTACAGTGTGTAATAATTACAGGGATATACAGTCAGAAATGTAATATATTATACATAACTATGTTATTTATCATCATCTACGAGCTCAGCCTCTTAACCTTAATATTTGCGTTGCCTTAGAATTTGTTATTTATAATTACATAGGAGCGGGTCTCGCAGCCATGGAGGCAGACATCTTTGCGCTACGGCAGCGCAGAAACAACAAACTAGCGATTGCGAGATCACCCCGCTGGCACCTCTCCCTCGCCTGGCCCTGGCTGCACGCCCACCCCGGCCTCTCTGCCCTCTTCCTTTCCCTCTTCCTCGCCTTGTAACCCCCGTGCCACAAACAAGACTTGGACTCTGTAAAGGGGGAATATATATTCTTCCAATCTCGCTGTTAAACTAATGACTACAATTACTTCGTCTGTTTATATCACCATGCAAAGCAGCTCCCCAAAACGTCACAACGACGTAGAAAAAATAACGGGTATATTTATTATCTTAAGTCTACATGAAACCTATACCCTACACAGACTAATGAAATACTATCTGTAAAATTATCTATGTAAACAAACCTCATCACTTGAGAAGGTAGCTGATGCGGACGTCGTGGAAGACATTTTGTCCCGTAACGCTCGCCGTACTGTTGGGGGGGAGAAGCGGTGGGGGGGGAGATGTTCATGTTGCTGCGGTCTGCAGTCTGGACGTTAGATGTCGCTGAAAATTACACACTGTAGCTTTAAGAAGGTGAATTAAAGTCTTCCACTATTTACCTTTTTTGATCCACGTTTTATTGGATTTTCAAATCAAGGAACAGTAGGCCACCTTAAATATTTAGATCAGGGATCTCGAGAGCATCTTGTCTCATAGCTTTGAGATACAGTATTGTTTCGACATACTAGTGGATGCTAAGTATGGGAATTCAGCTGTTTGATTCATTCATGACTGAACATGAATGCATCCCATAAATTAATCTAGCTCTAACAGAAGTTGGAGGCTCCTAATTTATCTTCTCCCAGGGGGCAGTTAGGAAGCATCGACACAGAAGGAATTTGAGATAAGAAGGCCTGCTAACCTTGTGAAACAAAAAAGGAAAATAAAAAAAATAGCAATAAATTCTCATTAACCTTAACCGGTTGAGTCATTACAAAATAGATCCCTACGGCATATTTTAAAGGATAGTACTAACTTACGGCCAGAGATCTCAAAAATGATAAAGTTTGCCGTTTTAGAGCCAAAACTACAACTTGGATGCAGGTTCCTGCAGCCATCTCCAAAGAAAGATGATGAGAGGATGCTTCAGAAGAGGAATGGAATCAAAGCTTTTCGAAATGTGGGGTATTCCTTAAAATGCTCCTTATAAAACCTTTAAAAATAAAGGGCTGCAATTAGAAACAAGAAATGCCACATTCCAAAAAGCATTTATTCTTTTGAAGATATTTCAGGCACCTGTGGTGGTAAAAGGCTCTTGGTCCGATAAAACAGAGGCTGAAGACAGCAATCGCGAATGCTGGAAGAGACCATGTTGCTATAGCGTAGCCAAACCACTCAACAAGCTCCCCAAAGTAGTTGGCACCAGACACATATTCAAACAGGCCACCTGCAGCAGATACATGTGTTGAGAAAACTGTTGGTACCCGTGGTCTGATGGAGGAAAACATCAACAATGGTCACAGAAAAGACATGAATCTAACAAACGTAATACATGTAAATTCTACATTACTATTCAACCATGCTTCAACAGAAAGATTTAGAAAAATAAACTAAAAAAACAGGCCTGGACAAAAATGAAGGAACCCAAGTCCACTAATTAGCATCACAGCTGTCTACAATCTCATTATCAGTCAGTAGGCCTATATATAGGGCTACATGGTGTGTACCACACTCAACATGGATCAGAAGTAGCAAAGGACAGAGATGTCTCAGGAGAGTTGAAAGAAAATCATAGACAAGTTAATGTTATATAACCATCTCCAACCAGCATGACATTCCCCTGAATATTGCTCCACAAATTATTCAGAAATATAAGATCTATGGGACTGCAGTCGACATCCCCAGACATGGACACACGAGGGAAGTTGATGACAAATCAAAGAGATGGATAACATGAATGGTAACAAAAGAGCTAAATAAAAATGGAAATGGATTAAAGGTAAACTTCAAGCTCAAGGAACATCAGTGTCAGATCACACCATCGGCCAAAACCTAAAGGGAGATGATCAAGGAGGACGTCATTGTTAAAAGCACATCAGAAAAAAAGCCAGACTGGAATTTACTAAACTACTTGTTTAGTAAATTCTACGTTTTTTTTTTGTCTAGCTTTTATCGTCATTACACTGTCACAAGTACAGAGCAAGGAAATTCACTCTCCGCATTTAACCCATCCCCTTGGGGAGCAGTGGGCTGCCATCGTGAGGCGCCCGAGGAGCAGTGTGGGGTTAAAGGGGAACGCCGTATTTTTTTTTTACATTGGGCCCTTGATTTGACGTTATTACATCATGTCCTACTCACCCATATTAGTTTTGTGTCCTTTGGAGCTGTTCCGAAAATATTCGGTTGTTGTAATCCTAGTAACGTCTTCCTATGGGCAACGAGTTGAAGGCACAAACTAAACTGTTCATAATTTATTCTTTATGGTACGCCAGCATTCATAACATGTAGGCGAATCACTGTCCCCCAGACATCCACGGTTATATTTTTTATATTTATATTTTTTTTAAACAAAGCGGCACGTGTATGACGTCATCCGCGAGCCGGACTGGAGTTGAGACAGGCAGCCCGGGCCACAGGCGGCTACGCTCTACCCCTTATATTAATTCTAGCTAATCTGAATCGTTCAATTCTATTTGGAGAGCGAGATCATCTGTGGTAGCAGAACTAGACATCTTCCAGGCATGTGAGTAAAACTAGCAGCAGTTCAGCAGACAGGATGAATGAACGGTAGCCGGCNTTTATACTTTAAGTAGTTTTTGGAGCACATACTTTTTCACTTTTACTTGAGTAAAGAGGTCAAGTTGATACTTCAACTTTTACCAGAGTGTTTTTAAACTGCAGTATCTATACTTCTACTTAAGTAACAAATGTGGGTACTTTTGACACCACTGTCCCCCAGACATCCGCGGTTATATTTTTTATATTTATATTTTTTTTAAACAAAGCGGCGCGTGTATGACGTCATCCGACTGGAGTTGAGACAGGCAGCCCGGGCCACAGGCGGCTACGCTCTACCCCTTCTATTCATTCTAGCTAATCTGAATCGCTCAATTCCATTTCGAGAGCGAGATCATCTGTGGTAGCAGAACTAGACATCTTCCAGGTATGTGAGTAAAACTAGCAGCAGTTCAGCAGACAGGATGAATGAACGGTAGCCGGCGCGGGCGGATGACATCATACACACTCCGCTTTGTTTTAAAAAAATATAAATATAAAAAATATAACCGCGGATGTCTGGGGGACAGTGATTGGCCTACATGTTATGAATGCTGGTGTACCATAAAGAATAAATTATGAACAGTTTAGTTTGTGCCTTCAACTCGTTGCCCATAGGAAGACGTTACTTGGATTACAAAACCGAATATCTTCAGAACGGCTCCAAATGACACAAAACTCATATGTGTGAGTAGAACACGATGTAATTATGTAAAATCAAGGGGCCATTGTAAAAATAACAGTGTTCCCCTTTAAGGGTCTTGCTCAGAGACCCCAAGTGGCAGTCTGTGGAAGTGGGTCTTGAATTCAGAAGCTCAGGATTCCAAGCTCTATGCCCTAAGCACCAGGCCACCATTCCCCTAATGAGTGAATGGGTGAATGTCCTCTGGATGGATAAAACAAAAATTAACTTTTTACCAAGGAACATCAGCTCTTTGTTCACAGGTGGCAAAATTAAGCATATCAAGAAAAGAACCCGTCAGTAATGCGAAGCATAGAGGAATCTCTCTTATGTTCTTGGGGTGTTTTGCTTTATCTGGGACAGGGTGTCTTGAATCTCTACTGGGTTCAATAAATCTGCAGACATTCAAAAGCCTCTAAAATGTGCTGCCCAAAGTCAGAAATCTTGGTCTCAGCTGCCAGTCATGGGTCTGCAACAGAGTAAACCACACAGCTAAAAACACCCAAGAATGGCTCAGAAGAAAGCATTGGACTATTCTGATATAGCCTTCTACGCAACCTGACCTAAATCCTACCAAGCATCTTTGGAAGGAACTGAAATATGTCGTCTGGAAAAGGGAGCCTATAAACAGTTGGAGAAAACTGCAGCAGTTAGATCCTGAGAAATGTAGTAAAATACCAACTGAGAGGAGCAGAAGTCTCACTGACAGTTACAGGAACTGTTTCATTGCAGACAGTGATTGCCTTGAAAGGTTGTGCAACAAAAAATGTTCAAGGTGTTATAATTTTTGTCTAGACCTGTTTCATGAGTTTATTTTTTGGCATGCTGTTGAAGCCTGGTTGAAAAGCAGTGCTTGACTGTCATTCATTTATTTATCATTACTTTCGTCAAATTCAAGTTATTTTTGGGCCCATTGTGGGTTTTCCTTTCATAAAACAAGGGGTACAAACAAATTTGTTCATGCGTGTAAGGGAGACCGTGTTAGTTAGAGCACAATGGAGGACAGTTCATGGAAAAGATGTTTCATACCTGCTGGAATTCTGTAAACGATCTCTTTTGGTTTCCTTAGGTTGCGCAGAATGTAATCACTGTGCATATTGATCACCATTCCTGTGTAGAACACCAGTAGACCTAAAAGATAGCTCAGTGTATCAAAAGTGTACACAACTCTTATTTCACAACATTATATTTTCTTTAAAAGGGATTATATTTTGGGGGGGGGGGTTACCAAATATATAGCGGTAGCCAGTTGACCATTCCTCATCAAACTGGGCACAATGCAGCAGATAGTGACCCTGCAGAAAACCATTTAATGAACAGAAGAAACTTGCTGACGCCATCACAGTCAGAGGGAGAGGCTGTCCTCTGGTCAGCACTGAATACACAAATGTCCTGTGATTGACAGACAGATAACAGAAACGGGGGGGGGGGAACAACAGGGGGGAGATTTAATGTTCCAAACTGCTTCATTCACTGGTTAATCTAAACCGGATAAAAGGATTTTACTCATGACTTAATTTCTTGACTAAATCTGGTGCGATTTCTTTGTTATTTACTTGAGTTGTTGCAGACAGACAGACGGATCTTTTCTGACAAGTTCTGGTTCAGGCAGACATGGACTCATAGTTCTGCTTAGCCTTTAATTCCCCCAGCTCGCAGCAGTAATTCAATGAACTGGATTGAATCTGGTTGTAATAAAATCATCAGCATTTTTCCAAATATGATTAAATCATCCTTAGTGAGGCTGTCTAAGGGGCAACTATAGAACCTGAAATGTATTTTGTTTTTATGCAGTTGAGCTTAGTGAGTCCTCAAAATGATTCCTTTTACTAAAACCTTCAACTTGTTAGATCTGAGCTCGACTAAATTATTTTAGGATGTTTTCTCTTTGATTTTTACACCACATTTCTGATACAGGGCGATGGTGGCTCAGGATGTAAGGGTTCGTCCTGTAACAGATGTCTTGCCAGGTCAATTCTGTGATTGTGTCCTTGAAAATGACACTTCTTATTGCAGATTTGGGTGTTCCGTCTTGGGGATTGACCGCTTTTTGTTCCGGGTGTTGTTAGGTTTGGCAATTCACTGGTATGTTATGTTTAGAAAAAATCCTTCTGAGCTTCTCCGAAACTTCGTTCACATATGGAATAAGTGTTTTGCATCTTTCTGTCCTCTCTCTGTCAGATGGAGTGTTGATCTCCCTGCTAGTTTTTCTAGTCACACTTTAGACAGAGAGGACAGATAGTTTGACAGTGGGGTAAAGGAAGAAATCTTTGTTAAAACACAACAAAGACTGATGGATAGGTGTCCAAATGTCTTCAGACAAATTGAGCAATGTAAGCCAGTTTTGTGGTTACCATCCATCTTCTCCCACTTACTGTAGTCCTTGTCAGAATCGGTGCCTACCTCTGGCAGTGTATGGGTGAGAGGCGGTGTACACCCTAGACAGGTCGCCGTTCTGTCGTTGGACAAAACAGAGACACGCAAAGACACACAACCATGCACACACTCACACCTAAGGGCAATTTAGAGAAGCCAATCAACCTAACAGTCATGTTTTTGGACTGTGGGAGGAAGCTGGAGTACCCTGAGAGAACCAATGCATGCACAGGGAGAATATGCAAACTCCATGCAGAAAAAAAACCCAGGCCAGGAATCAAACCCAGAATATTCTTGCTGCAAGACAACAGTCCTACCCACTCCCCCACTGTGCAGCCCCAATGAAAGCCCAGTCTTGGAAGATTTAAGTTTCACATTACGGCCAACAACAATAAAGGGTTTTCAGTGCAGGAACTTTACAGTTTGGACAACATCCCAATGTGTAAGACTGCTGACTTGAGAGATTCCCAGCATACTAAAGGATGGCTGTTTACACAGTGCCATATCTAAGCCAATAGAAAGCCGAGTAGTAGAATAATAACTTCACAAGCAACAGGATAAATGACAAGTTTTAGAGGATTTGTAAACAACCTTCAGTGTACAGTTTGGAGGATATTCAATAAATGAGGACTGCAGCTTTAGCTAGAGATTCAACAGCTTTACACAGACAGCTACAGCAGCTGGGTCATTGTGTTAAGCCACTCCTAGAGTTGGAATAATGATTAGGCACAGAAACAAAGCTGTTTGAGGTCCGGGCTGAAGTTCTTGATTGATTAACAACCTTCCAAAAATTTAGAAATCAGAGCCAACTATGCAGATGAGTTGAGGCCGACTGTAAAGCAATCTGGGCTTTCTTAGCAGGATGTAATAAATAAAACTGCATGAATCTATTGTTATAACTGGATTACTGAAATAACGTAACAGTTCCTACTGTATTTTGATGGATTTTCAAATTCTTACTTTAAATGCATTCTGAAAATCCAAACTGAAGCGTCTACTTAGGCTCTTACCTTTGAAAATAGTGCAAACAGAAGGTCTTGAGCAATAAGGCCCTTCCCATGGAGGAATACTGGTGTGAAAGTTGTATCAACAGCAGGGGCATCAAAAGAGCTGGCATCTCCTGCAGGAACCAGGCAAGTCTGGCAGGTACCATTCTAGCAGGAGAGGATAGTTTCATGTGGCGTCCGTAGGCAGCCTGTGCTTTCCTGTGATTGATCAGGTGAAGAAGTCCTGCCAGGAGCATCCCACAGCTCAGATAGTTCACCACGTTCTCGTAGCACTGCATCTTGCATGTCTTGTCCTCAGTGCTGCAGTAATTCTCTCCAGTTTTGATCTAATCCAGAATATGTTTAAAGCTGAATGGATGTAAACAGCCTCTCTGTGACTCCTCCCAGAGGACAGACGGTGGTCTGTCAGCCAGCCTGCTGAAACATGAAAGTGCTCCCTTTTTCTCAGCATATGTACAAATGTTGCCTGAGGGGAGGTTATGATTATTCTGTCCTCCCCACAGCACATATCTAGGTTCAGCAGAGAATTCAGAGCAGAAACATGAAGTAATTCATGACACATGACTTCTGGTAGGAGTCTGCCACAGGTTTAAACTGCCTACTTCACATGTAGAACCAGTTCATAAGCTCAGACCAACCTGGGCAAAATCTACTTGTTTTAATGGATTGGTTTTGTTTATACATCATTTTTCCAATAGTGGTTTAGGTTTTTAAGGTCGTGTTAAACAACTAGGTTGACAGCATAATCTTTGACCAAACACTATATATATATACATGTATATAAATAAAATAGAAATTGGATTCTGTTAAAAGATTAAAAGAGTGGAAATAAGACAAAGGCTGAGAAGCACACTGAACTCTCCATTACCGCAGGCTCAGGAGAATGGTGTATCTAAAAGGACAGCCTGCATTTTTTATTGCGGTTAACAGAGACAGTAATCACATATGTTCTGCAGTGAGAAGCATGTATAAAAAAAAATTGAGGAGATCAAACTGGAGATCCAGTTGCACTCCTTTAACTGTGTTTTTGCTCCCGGTTGTGCCTCCGAGGCTGTTTACTTAATTTGGTCAAGTTTTTTCTTATTTCAAATCAAAGAAAGTTAAATAATTATTTACTCCAAAAGCCTGGTTTTGTTTCAAGTTTGTTAATTCATATGAAAATTGCTACATCCAGCTAAGAAAAACCTAATGAAAGCAAAGGATTTTTGCTAGTCATTTCAAGGTCCATGGGAAGCAATCATGGGAAGCACTGCTGACTGGATAGCTGCTCAGCTTAGTCACCGATACTCCCCATGGACCATGACCTCAGATTGTCATTGCTAGAGCTGCTGCTTCAAGGAAAAAAAAAATAATTTAAGCTAAAACAAAAAAAGCCCTTCCTAAGCTCCATGGACTGCTGCTGAAGTGGGTGCTTTCCCCCCCTACCGCCCACACTGGGGCTAATCAAGTCATGAACTACAGCTGCTACATTTCTTGTTACACCAAAAGTACAAATAATGCTTTAATGACTGTGGTATCGCTGTGCTTAAGTAGCCAGCATAGTTTGCCAAAATAAACCTCAAAGATTCTCAACGGCAAGGATGGGAAACACCAGAGCCAACAATGCAGATTGGTTAGAGATCAATCTCTCTGCTTCCATAATAACACTGCAACACTACATTAATTCAGAATTCAACAAGTAAGAAACCTGGACTATTTATTTACCACATATATAGTAAGTGTACTTCTTTTTAAGTAAATAACTATTTTAATTTGTTATATTCTAGTCTTCTGAGAAGCAGAGATTTTGGTTTCATCTCTAAGCTGTAATCCCCTTCTTTAAACCTAATTAAGCTTTAAACCTCCAACCTAATTATAGATAAAATGTATCTTTAAACAATCCTCCAACTATGCAAACTTTTTTAGAGAGTTTTTTCATAGCTTAAATAAAATACATGCAAAAAAACTGTGTGTTGGCAAAAAACAAGACACTTGAGCAGAGGGGTATTTTCAGTACATTTTACTTCTTTTGTAACATGAATCCTCTGCCTTTTCTGAAGAGCCTTTTGGGATGCTTTGTCAGTGGAACCTGAGATCATAAAAAACTCCATCACAGGAGCAGTTAAGCAGTATTTATCCTTTTTTTTAAGGTTAACGATGTGAAAACCTTCAATTCCTAAATTAAGGAAAACAAATGCATAAAAAAATAGCTAAAAAGACAATAACCATAAACATAAAAATTAACAGTGTCAAGGTTAAGCTTTTGTCTCTGGCTACAAGGAGGAAATGACAGACAGAACATAACTCCCTTTGGAGAAGGGAGGCAACAGTGGGTGCCATTTTAGCCCAGAAGGGATGTGCAGAGTAATAATACTGCATTTGTGTTGGGCAAGCTCAGGATCAGATTGGGTTGTCCGCAAAGAGTACATAAAAAAAGAACAAATAAAGGATAATAAGACTGAAAGTGAGAATATGTTTTATACATCTACTTTTTATATATATTTATATAAATGTGCAACAGTGATAAAAGGCACAATAGCACAGTGAGTCATGCTTTGCTAGTTTCCTGTAAATCAGCATTTAGAGGTTGAGTGAGTCTGGGATTTAACCTCCAGTCTGTGCACCACTAGGTTCAACCAAGTTTAGTTTGCATTAATGTTTAATTAGAAATTTCTAATGCTGCCAGGAATGACGTGGAGCTACTTGCCTTAAGAAATAAAGCTGAATAAAACTGAAATTTACCAAAAAAAACAGCAAAACCACAAAATCCTGAACTGTGATTAGTTTGCGCAATTTTTTAAGTTTTAAAGAGTTAGTTTCTTGCAAAAGTATTCACACCCCTTAAACTTAAAAAGAAAATAAAACCAACAAAATTCAGTGCATCTTATCAGGATTTCATATAGAGAGGGTAGAGCAACAGATGAGCCATAGGAAGCCCTGTCTGCAGGCGCCACAAAAACGTAGGGCTACAGCAAACCTGGTAAACAGGGTCAAATATCGCAGAAATCAATGAATATGCCACATGCACAATGAAACTGGGTGGTGGTGGCATCATGCTTTGGGCTTGCTGTTCACTTGCAGGGGCGGAAAGATGGTGGAAAAGATATGCAGCTGCAAAACACAGATTGTGGAGAACAACCCTAAGGAAAGGGACACATCATAACGGCCCAGTCACAGTCCAGACTTCAACGGATTGGAAAAGTCTGTTAAGACTTGAAAAGGAGCAAGTAATGTTATTATTAGACATGGCAATAATGCTACCGATTATAGTTAACCAACATTTTCCACACCCCAGAGAAACCCTGCATCTGCAGCCCGTGTCTGTGAATCTGCAAACACTTTTAGGACATTTCTAGTTTTCAAACGGAAAAGAAATCACTTCAATATTTTTTATCATATCATGTAGAGCTGGTAGAGGCGTGCCCTGAAACACCTGCAGTATAAGGTGGCTAAAAATATATTTTTTCATTGATTTCCAGTTGTTATTTTTCATCTGTTGCTCTAATATGTAAAATTCAATAAGATATACATTAAAAAGTAGGAAGTATTAATACTTTTGCAAAACACTGTAAAAGAAGTATCCCCTCTTGGCTCCTGTGTTTCTATTATGTTACCATAAACCCAAAACATAACCGTTAACCAACTGTGTTCCGGATTTATCCGACTGTGTTTTTGAGCAGACCTAAACTTCAAAAATCAACTTTTTTTTGCAATTTAGATCATTTTTAGGTAATTATGACATGCACTTTGAAAAAAACTAAACATGTAGGTAACTGAAAAGAAAAGGATTGTGCGTATTTATTTTTATGTAAATTAAAAAAATTTAAACAAAGAGCTGTAAATAAAAACCTCCATCAAAAACATGTAATCCTTGAAGTTATTCGTCATCCCAGCTTGGCCAGTTTGTTTGTACTATGCTGAGAGCTCTGCTGAACATGTAACAAAACATTTTACAAGTCAAGAAAAAAATAAAACATTTGAAATGTACTCATCTGAAAATCCAGTTACGGCAGAGATTCAATGTGGAGGTGTAAAAAAGTAAATAAAATTTAAAAAACGAGGTTGCTGGGTTGGGGTTCAGATTTGATTACATATCTGTGGCACCTTCAACTCTAGCAAGGCTCTCATATTGCAAACCTTACTGCAATAAACATATGACTGGAGTGAAGGATCAGTGGTGAGCACACCAACCTGTGGGCCACACAATGTTGACAGCCTCAGAGCCAAAGTGACGAAGCTGCTACTCTAATCTACATACTAATCCAGTTAATACTATTACATCTATCAGAACCTCTAAAAAGTAAAAAAAAAAAAAGGTTAAAATAGGAATAAAATATATTTAATAAACCATTATTATGATAACGTTGTTTTTGGTTTATACAGTAGGGTGTACATTAAATGTGTTGGGTGCAGCCCTTTTTAAGCAACTATATATGCTAGACAGTGGTACCAGTTACCTATGAAGTTTCCTTAGCATACATTGTGATGGAGTCAGAATATAGACTCCACCCTCTTCTGGCATCTGAATAATCTCCAGTAGTATTTGCAGTTTTTATTTTAACTGGTTTGACTCTAGGGAAAGTTACAAGAGAACACATCAAATCCAAATAAATCATCTTTTCACATCGCTAATCCTCTTTAGTGTAGGGAAAACAAAAGGATCTAGGGGAATAATGCATAAAGAAAAGATATGCTCCTCATCGCCTCTTATCTCTGATAACTTCTCTGCAACCAAAAGCTCGGAAGACACTTCAAACTGAGAGGCGGGTGGAGAAAAGGGACGAAGAGCTGAGGGACTTAAGGGAAATTACTTTATTGGCTTCCATTATCTAAGTTTTCCTGCAAATAGTGGGCATTACTGGGGTGGGGGTGGGGGGTAGGATCTGGGGTTCATGGGTCAAGATTATGGCATTAAGATAGTAAGGGCAGGGTGGCGGCGGTGCAGTGGCCCCTGCAGAAGTTGACCTCAATGAACGATGAGCGCCCCGGCAGCGTAACTCACGGAGCTGTCCTGCCAGTTCCTGCACTGACTCGACTGGGCGTAGTTGAGGAAAGAAAAGTTCATGTCTAAACCAGACTTCCTAAGCTCGGCCACGGCCTGCAAAACAGAAACACGCAATCATTTTCCAAGTGATGGCAGATAAGGTAAGATTAGATCAGATTTACACCAAGTGGTGCAAAACGCTGAAGGAAAGACATAAAAACCTGCTTTGACATAAGTAACTGAAAAACTCTTACTCATCTCAGATGATAGTCGTTTCATAATGAGTTTACTTCGTAACATAATTTCATGCTGCATTAAAAACAAATGTTACTAACCATAAAACAGTCTCAAAGAGCCTCAGTGAATGCTAATTAACGCTAATCGCAGTAGAGGAAGCTCTTTGCAAAACGCATTTTGCAAACATGGATAATGCAATAATTGAGTTTGCAATGATTTTATGCAGCCATTATATCCGTTTTACTTTCTCTCATCCAGCTTTCTG